AGTCTGGGCGACAGAGTGAGACTCTAACTCAAAAAAAAAAAAAAGATGGCCAACATGAGGTCACTAGAGTTCATTTCTCCTATGGAGTAAACCAAGATAGAGTTTCCTCAGCACCCAGAGAGGAATGGATGCAGTAGCATGCCCCATGAGTCTCCAAATGAGTCTCTTAGACTGAAAAGTAAGAAAAAATACACTGACTTGGGCTGGAACTGGCTGGACTCTTGCCTGCACCACCACAGCCTCCAGACACAGTGGGTAAAGTGAGTAATGAGAAGTTGGGAGTTCTGTGTTCCTGCTGCAAATTTGCAGAGTTCCCTGATCCTTGTGGGAGGGACCCCAGTCCCTCATGGGAAACTGCCTGAGCCGCAGAAGTTCTCTGCAGTCGAGTGGTGTGAGAGAAAAATGTCATTTCCAAGGAACTCAATCCTTGCAGAGTTGAGCAACTGCCTTCCAGGCTGCTTGGGAGAGAATGGGCTGTAAGGGCAAACTCTCTGCCTGCAGACAGTTCCTTTCCAGGCAGTGTGGGTTGCCTGACAACATCTAAGGCCCTGAGGCCGGCTGCACCTTGACAATCAGATTGAAGATTGCTTGAGGCTAAGGTGGGAGCTGAGAGGGATATGTTGCCATAGCAACCTCTCCCTCCCCTTGTGAACTAGAGGTTTTCAGGTTATGTTATATCTCTCTGGGACTATAACTCTTGTTTGTAACCTCTCCCTCCCCTTGTGAACTAGGGGTTTTCAGCTTATGTTATATCTCTCTGGGACTATAACCCCAGTGACCTGGAACTCCCTCCTAATCCCCACTTTGGCAGCTAAGAGTGCATATTTTCAGGGTGCTTCAGATCCTTTCCTCTGCACTGCACTGAAGGCTAAAAGCAGACAAAACTTATGAAATCCCCAGAGCTGCACCCTCAGCCTAGGCTGACTGGGCCTTCCCTCAAAGTGACACTCACCAATGAGGAACCCTACAACCACCATCCTAGCCATCTTTCTTCCACAAGTGCCACCTCCTGGTCAGAGGTCAACAGTACAGCCAGCCACACTGGATGTAATACCTTGATCTTGGAAAAGGCCAGATCCCAAACTCCAGCTAACAGCACTTTCCAAACCATTCTGGCTACTCAGGATGCTGTGAGCACAGTGCGGGTACACAGCACAGGGCTGCCACATCTGGCAGTTGAGAAACTCACCACACTGAGGCTATATATAACCCAGGGAGCACTGCAGTACCTAAGTCACCCACCTGCCAACTTCGAATAAGAAGAAATCATCTACCCAAATTAGAAAAAAAAGAAGAAGAATTCTGACAATATGAAAAACAGTTCTCCAACACTCCAAAAAGGCCACATCAACTCTTTAGCAATGAACCTTAACCAAAATGAAATCTTTGAAATTCCATAGAATTCAAAAGTTTGATGATAAAAAAAAGTCAATGAACTTTAGGAGAAAATTGAAAACTAGCATAAAGAAGTGTAAAAAGCTATTTATGACATTGATTTTTAAAATTGTCCAAAGAGATAGACACCTTTAAAAAAAGAAAAAACTGAAATTCTGGAAATGAAAGAAGCACTTGGGGAATTACAAAATGCAATGGAAAATTTGAACAGACTAGACAAATCAAAAGAAAGTATCTCAGAACTTAAAGACACATCTTTGTAATTAACCCAATTTGACAACAATAAAGAAAAAAGAATCAGGAGAATGGAACAGAGTCTCCAAAAATGGGATTTCATAAAATGTCCAAACATAAGAATCATAGGTATTCCTGAGGAGGAATAGAAAGCCACAGGTTTGGAAGATCTATTTAAGGTAATAATGGAGAAGAACTTTCCTGGCATTGCCAAAAATCTAAACATCCAGATACAAGAAACCCAAAGAACCCCCAGGAGACTCATTGCAAAAAGTCATCTCGAAGGCATATACTTATGCAGCTAAGTGAAGTGAATGTGAAGGAAAGAATTTTAAGAGAAGTGAGATAAAAGCATTAGGTTACTTACAAAGGTAAACTATCAGACTAACAGCAAAATTCTCAGAATAAACACCATAAGCCAGAAGAGATTGGGGTCCCATTTCGATCTTCTCACATAGAATAACTGTTAGCAAGCATTTTGTATTCCACAAAACTAAGTTTCATAAATGGAGATATAAAGTTTTTCTCAGAAAAGCTAAGGGAATTTGTCACCACTAGACCAGTTCTAGAAGAAATACTCAGCGGAGTTCTAAATACTGAAGCAAAAGGTTGAAATACGCCAGTAGAAAAACACTGGAAATCATAAAGTTCACATGCTTTGTGGAAAACCAACACAATAGAGAAAGTAAACAATGCAACCAGATAACCAGTATGATTAGTAGAATAGTACCATACATATCATTATTAACTCTGAATGTCAATGGTCTCAGTTCCCTACTAAAAAGATATAGACTGGCAGAATGGATAATAAAACACAATCCAAATATCTGCTGCCTTCAAGAGATCCACTTAACTCACAAAGACTCTCATAGACTCAAAGTAAAGGGGTGGGGAAAACATTCCACTCAAATGGAACCCTAAAAGATGCAGAAGTAACCTTTCTCATATCAGATAAAACAGACTTTAAATTAACAAGAGTAAAAAAAAAGACAATGATGGCTATTAATGATAAAAGGATAAATCTAACAATAAGACATAGCAATTTTAAATATATATGTGCCAGCCGGGCTCGGTGGCTCAGCCTGTAATCCCATGCTTTGGGAGGCTGAGGTGAGTGGATTGCCTGAGCCCGCGGGTTTGAGACCCGCCTGTGCAACTTGGCGAGACCTCATCTCTACAATAAATCAAAAATTAGCCAGGTGTGGTAGCGCACGCCTGTAGTTCCAGCTACTTGGAAGGCTGAGGCAGAAGGATTGCCAGAGCCCAGCAGGTCAAGGCTGCGGTGGCTGGGAGTGGTCACTGCACTCCAGTCTGGGTGACAGAGTGAGACTCCAACTCAAAAATATATATATATATATATATTGCCTCATACCAGAGGACCCAGCTTTATAAAACAAACTCTACTAAACCTAAAAAGAGAGATAGACAGCAATACAAAAATAGCGGGAGATGTCAACTCTCTACTGACAGCAATAAATAGCTCATCAAGGCAGAAAGTCAACAGAGAAACATTGGCATTAAACAGACTCCAGAGGAAATGGAATTAACAGATATCTACAAAACATTCTACTCCAAAACTACAGAATATACATTTTTTTCATCAGTACATGGAATACTCTCTAATATAGATCATATGATAGTTCACAAATCAAGTCTCAATAAATTTTTAAAAAATTAAAATCATACCAAGCACATCACAGACCACAGTGGAATCAAACTAGAAAATAACTCCAAGAAGAACTTGCAAAACTGAACAAAGACATGGAAGTTAAACAATTTGCTCCTGAATGATTTTTTGGGTCAACAATGAAATCAAGATGGAAATTTTAAAATTCCTGGAAACAAATGACAGCAATGAAATGAGTTATCAAAACTTCTGAGAGTCAGCCACAACTGTGCTCAGAGGAAAATTTATAGCATTTAATATCTGCATTAATAACACAAAATATCACATATCAACAGTCTAAATCACAATTCAAGGAACTAAAATAACATGAGCAAACCAAACCCAAAACTAGCAGAATAAAAGAAATAGCAAAGATCATAGAACTAAAGGAAATTGAAATTTAAAAAACAAGACAAAGGATCAACAAAATAAAAAGTAGGTTCTTTGAAAAGATAAACACAACTGATAAACTGCTAACTAAATTAATTAAGAAATGGAGGGAGAAGACTCAAATTAGCTCAATCAGAAATTAAAATGGAGACATTACAACTGATACAACAAAAATTCAAAAGATCATCTGAAGCTATTATGAACATCTCTGTGAAAACAAACTAGACAATGTAAAGGAAATGGATAAATTCTTGGAAACATGCAGCCCTTCCCAACTTTGAATCAGGAAGAAATGGAAACCAATAATAAGTAGTGAGATTTAAACAATAATTAGAGGTCTCCAAACAATAAAAATGCTGGAGCCTGGTGGACTCACAGGTGAATTCTACCAGACTTTCAAAGAACTGGTACCAATTCTACTGAAACTGTTCCACAAGATTGAAGAGGAGGGAATCTCCCTAAATCATTCTATGAGGCCAGTATCATTCCGATACCAAAGCCATGAAAAGACACAACAAAAAAAGAAAACTACAGACTAGTATCCCTTATGAATATAGATGGAGAAATCCTCAAAAAACATTAGCAAACCAAATTTAACAGCACACAAAAAATGATAATAATACACCATGACCAAGTGGGTTTTATCCCAGGGATGCAAGGATGGTTCAACATACTCAAGTCAATAAACATCCACTACATAAACAGAATTAAAAACAAAAATCATATGATCATTTTAATAGACACAGAAAAAGCAACTGATAAAATCCTGTCATCCCTTCATGATAAAAATCTTTAGCAAAATAGGTATAAAGGGAACATTCCTCAAAATAATAAAAGCCATATATGACAAACCCACAGACAGTGTCACCCTGAGTGGAG